CGGCAGTATACTGTGCATTTCATTTTTGACACTATTCACAAACGAGTTAAAAGCAATGTCTACATCAGCCTGTACAAATTGGGATGACTCTAATTTATTGACAATGTCCACAAGTGACCGATAACTGTCATCAGATTGCATAAAGCTATCGGGTAAATTAGACGTATCACATTTAACCCTAGTCTGCTGCTGGCGAGTACATGGTGTAGGGTCACAGGGCGGCATATCTAAATGTATAGACCATGTTAACATTGAGTGGTCTATCTTTAACACCGTCTGTGGGTTTACCAGCCCAACACACCCGGCCCTAGTGGCTACATCATTTGGCCTAACAACACACATATTCTCAATCTTATATAACATGTCATAGGGACAAAGACAGTAATCAACCACAGATGTACCCCTAGTGGATATGTACGTAAAATCATTACAAACATTTTGTCTTCCATTTACCATACATAAATTAGCTGATATTAAGAAGTCTGCTAAAAGTCTACCATAAGTGTTACACGCTCAGGTAGACAATCGACACCTTCTACATAGTCCAGCAGGTTACCACATCTACTGTTAAAATCGCCACAGATAAAAGTCATTTCAGGAGAATAATACTTGACTATCTGTAATAATAGGGTATCATAAAAATCAATTGCATCTATTTGCCTTGTGGAGTTCTCAGGTGGGAGGTAACACACACATATAACAAAACTAAATTGAGGATGTAACTTGTCAACAAACTTCAACCATAGAATACCTTCATAACTACAATCTAAAACTGAAACGTTAAAACAATCATAGAAGGCACTCTTGATTAAAAACCCAACCCCGCCCGATCCGCATTTAGCTCTAGTATGTGTCAGAGTTCTATTCTGTCCGAGCCACACGTAGCCATCTACGTCTATCTTCTGGGTTCCCTTTAAGTGTGTCTCAGCAATTCCAATAATGTCTAAATCACATTCAGTTATACAGTGCGAACGTAGTACGAAGTTTTCAGACAGTTTATCACATGAATAGCCGCAAACATTCCAAAACCATGATCTTAAAGGTAACTTTATAGATGAATTCCGTTTTAGCCCAGATGAAAGTGATCATCTGAAACTTATTATGATAATGAATACTACTGAAATCAAGGTTCTTAAACTTTTAGCTGATGCTATTAACGATATGTTCCGTAGAAGGCAGTTACATTCTTAATATATTTTACCAATGTACTGTTTTATGTATGTCATGAATACAATCGTCCAGATTGTATATTGTACATTTTTTTTAGTTATATTATTTTAGTAGTGTCTCGTAAGCCAATGTTATGGCTGGGTGATATGTGTTATCTAGACATATGAAATATTGTTTTACCTGTAACATATCACGTGACACTTTAATAAAATATTTCTGTCTTTCTGTCTGTCATATAAATAATCACAATTGAGTATTACATTTCGTGGCTACATAGTTTTTGGTCTTTTGAAATATTTTAACGATGACTGTCCTGAATTAGTCACTGTGACAATTATTTGGAATATGGAGTAACTTGAGGCCAGCTCCGACACAAACATCAACACAGTCACTGCGTGATGTAACCTTCATGGACATAAGACTATGAGTAAACATGGGTCTGCAATAAATGGGTGTCTCCTTGCTGCACCTACCGACTTCATCGCAGCGTGTGGGGAACCCGCACCGGCCAACACTTGCTCAACAACCTCCTCTCGTGCATTCACGCTTGCTGAGACAGCTGCTGTACGTGCCAGAAACCTGCCATTAGACATGCCATGTATCATATAAGCGAAAAGGTGTTCAAAGCGTCACTATCAAACCTGACTTAAAATCGAAGACAGGAAAATAAGAGATCGAAGACAGAAAAATAAACCCAGTTTATTAATAATACCATTTCAATATGTTACATGTACTCTTTTAGACATATCACAGTTAAAACATCGTTAGGGACCGTTCATAATCTATGGATAGGGTGTCGGGGCTGTGATGATGGTGATTTTAAGAGGATCAGCAATTTTGTACACATCGTGTACTCAGGGGTGGGTCAGCAATTTTGTATACATCATGTACTCAGGGGTGGGTCAGCAATTTTGTACACATCGTGTACTCAGGGGTGGGTCAGCAATTTTGTACACATCATGTACTAAGGGGTGGGTCAGCAATTTTGTACACATCATGTACTCAGGGGTGGGTCAGCAATTTTGTACACATCATGTACTAAGGGGTGGGTCAGCAATTTTGTACGTGACATGCAAAGGGGGGTGTGGGGAGAGGTGTCATTTAATTTGCACATATTTTTATATTTGCATATATTTTTTTTTTATGTTTTGGTGTTTGTTTTTGTTTTGTTATTTTGGGGTTGTTTTGTTTTGTTTTTGGTTGTTGTTGTTTTTGGGGGGAGGGCATTCACATTGTACATGCTTCTCCATAAAAATCATCATCACCATTTGAAGGTAATAAACCTGAGCCTGTAGTGTATCCTTGATGAACGGCTGAATATGTAATTCTGTGATGTTCGCCAACATTAAGGGTAGGCTGCACAAGTAGGCAGAGTAAGTAAACATGATTCAGAACATGTCAGCATCTTTATTTGATGTGAACAAAGATGGTTGGACGTTTCTTAAATATTTGTATCCATTCACGTTTATCCATGTTAGCAAAGTACACAAACCTACATTTTTCACCTTTGAAATATTCGTCTATAATATATGTAACCTGACTATACTCCACGCAGTAGTGATGATCTGAAGCTGTTTGTCACAAACACCTGTATATTTGGCACAGATGCCTGCAAGCATGTACAGATTATCGTATAATCTCAAACGGTGGTATCCTCCACGCTGCCACGTTTCAGGTAGCCCAGTGTTGAATGTTTAATAACTCGAAGCATTACTCCCATGTCATCAAGCTGTTGGATAAGACTAAGGGGTGGTTAGAGTTGCATGTAAAGCTTCAACAAAATTTAATTTCTACGACGAGGTCAGTGTTTAGCTTCCAACAAGTTTTGGTGTCACCTTTAAACTAACGACTTCTGAAATTTGAGTGAGATGGAGAGAATGCAGTATCCAGTGATGCAAGAGTCAGATTGGGTCAATCAATGACGTAATCCACTTACACATACACAGGAAGAGATCACGCTGAATACCCCGAGCTTTCATTACATCACGAGATAATATAGCTGTTTGTACAATACTCACTTCTATTACGTGCACGTGTGTTATGTTGGTTTTGGGATCCACAGCAGTACAGTATTCTGTGGTGTCCTCTCACTTAGCCTGATTCTGTCAAAACAGGTCTCTTACATAGCCAGAGTGGGATTTGATAACACTTCATCCAGACAGGGATAATCCACGTTATGTAGTCTCCCTGGTCCAGATGAGCCACAGTTTGTTTCAACAAAATGCTCAATTAGTGAGATTAGTGAAATTTGCATTTAAGTGAGATACATGTACATTGATATGGTAGTATTTGAATTTTTTGGAGGATGTGAGGAAATGGTCAGTTGGTGACATTAGTGACATTTGTAATTAACTGAGATACCTTGATATGGTATTATTTGAATTCTCTTGGGGAATTTCAGGAAATGCTTGTCTATACTGCATAATATCAATCATTTTCAAAAATGGAAATACAAGTGTTATGATGGATGGGCCCATGCAAAGATATACAGTAACGAATTAAACTAAGCGTTGTGTATATAAAATACACGTATGATGTCAAGCTATTTGGCATTAGGAAAAATGTTGATACACATAACACAAAACATTTTAACTTCTGAAAAATAATGTGGTTCCTTGTGTTAAGAAACAAGTTATGACAATAGTTGTCCACGATGTAATAAACTAAAAGCAGAAAAATAAGAGTACCACAGAATGAAAGCTTCATCTGCAGTAAAAGAGGAATAATCATATTGTAATTCTTCATTTGTGTTTGATATCAACATTGGAAACAGGTTCTGTCAAATAATCAATCTTAAGTTTTCATCTGTCCCTTTGCAGAACTAAAAGTAGTTTTGTTGTATAGATGTTTATATTCATGTATTTTATATGCTTAATGTTATTTATGATATCATGTACTTTGGTAATAAGGTTATGAAATGCAAGTCGCATAAATGTTATTTTTTCTGGAGAGGCATTAATATAAGCTTTTTGCTTGTTTGCCGATCCAGTTTCTGAACAATATATCAGAAATAAATGAAACCGAATTTTCATATTTCAAACAAACGCACACACACACTTCTTAAATCGTGTCGCATTGTAGATATAGACTATAGCCCTTAAATGGCTAATGCTAATTACCTCAGCTCGCATCTCTCATCTAGCCATAGTTAGACTCTGGCTAAGTGAGAGCAGAGACCATATAATAGAGAGTGAACCATATACTGTGTTGATTCTTGAACCAACCAACCAATCAATCGTTTATTCTCATAAAGATCACAATAGTGACATACAAAATGTACATGTTTGTTTATGGGAACATACGTTAAGTTTTCACATAGTTGCTAATATTTAAGAGTAGTGCATTATGCGTACAAGACATTAGGGATATAAATGCATCTAATGATGGGTAATTACAATAATAGTTTGGTAGGAATGAATTTCTTACATTTCTTAAATCTGGACAATATGACACGAAGTGAAATTTATCTCCTCTTGCATTTTTACACAATGTACGAAATCTTTCTTCTTCTAATAACATCGTGCCATCTATACTGGTACCTTCTTACAACTGAAAATGGCCAAGTGTGTACTGAGGCAAAGATTGTTTTGGATATCAACTTCTACAATTTTGTAACACGACGTTGTTAGAAAAGAAACTCAGGCGAAGTACTAAATGTTTAATGTGATCAATGACCCTTTAACATTTGTTTAACAGCCGTTTCTCAAAACCGATGCGCAAAGACATTTTTTCGTTCCGTTAAATGAATTTACGAAAAACTGCCCTGTCCAATCAGAAACGATTTCTCATCGCGGGCCCATGTGCTTATAAACTTATGCGCAGGGTTTCTCCATTTAGTTTACCATCCCAGAAGGCTGCAAGGAGGTTTGACTGCGGCGGGAAATAACCCCTACGTCATAGCTAGGTCTGTCAATTTTGGGTGGTTGTCAGCTGACACTTAAGAGGGAGCTATATCGTCAGTTTTCAAACAGAACACAATGGCTGATGATTGGGACGGTGGAAATACGACCGTGAGTATTACAGCATATCTTCACGACAATTGTTTTTCACAGTTTCGCACTCTGTCAACATGGCAAAGTTACGCTTCTGTTGGGGTTAAATCAAAATGTCGGACCTGCAGGGGGACATTTGCAATGGATTGTCTTTTTCGCTCAAAATGTACCTGTTAAATCTCCGACTGATCACCACTGTAAATGTCGCTTATTACATGGGATCTTACTGTCTATTTCTTTGTTTTCATGTAAACTTTTGCTACCCTAACCCTTGAAAATGGATCCACTTGAGTCAACCACACGTGTTTTGCCCAATGAAAGATGACATTCGAGACTGTTTTATGAAACCAAACATATTTTCATGTCCAAAATTTGACGTGACGTGAATATATCCTTGTAATCTGCTAATGCTCCAACACGGGCAACAAGGTAATTTCTGATTTCGGACTACTGGGTACTGTCATATTGATGACCATTTTTTATCATGTTGGCATTGACGTTTTGAACTAAATGACACTACTCTACTTGTGTTACTGTATGCTAAATATTGTTGTTTAGGATATATAGGTGAACATTATTTTGCAATCAGTAATTGTTGGCAACCACTATTATTAATGTTTCATGGTCACTTGACATTCGTCATTTTGTCATCAGTGTTAAATTTCAAGTAGACCCATGTCCAATTTCTTGGCTAATGGTTGGTGTTCCATAGCCATGACTTGCTGTTTGTAGTTTCATCCTGACCTTGACTGAACATTCATCTGTAATTTTTCAGGCACCCTCCCAAGGCTTCGGAGCTGGGTAAGTAACCAAATGTCTGCCGACTCGACTGACCCAGCTAGTCATAAAATCTACATTTTTTAATGCAATAATTTGTCAACAGTACCATTTGACGAAAATTTATAATACTTGTCTTGTTTGGTCTTTGTCAAATGTCTGAACAAGGAGACTTAATTGTGAATCTTAGTATCCTTGTGTCATGTAAGTTTGATCACTTAAGAACTGTCGCTGAATTTTCAAAGTTATATTGATATCTTATTTTCAAATCTCTTACCTCTAAACTTGTTTATTTATGTGAAACATTTCCAAAATCCAGGTATTTTTACTGCTTTTCACAATCGCGGCATGGCCACCCTCTCACTGTCAACACAAGTGAGCCAGAAAGCTACGTCACATAAGTTCGATCATATGATTGGCTGGCTTGTCGCGTAAACAGGATTACTTGTAAGGACAATCTCTTGTGTCAAATTCAGAGCTAGAGCAGTCCCAAGTAATTTTATGGTATTTATGTCCATGAAACGTTCATTTTATGTTTCAATACTTCTAAAAACGATGAAAAGTCACAAATATTCAGCTTATATACAAGTATTATGCAGGGAATTATTCTTCAGGCTCATCGTGAAGGGCATCAAACCTCAGAATGTAGACAAACACCACAAACTGGCTTGCAGAAACGTAAATGTGTTCTGTGCTGACATGTAGGGTGGGTACATTGTGCCAAGGTTGTATTTATCAATGAGGCAATAGCTCGAACTTCATCAGGTACCAATTCACAGAAATTCTCAAAAAGCATTAAGTTTTCTATAAGAAATGGCCCTTACTTGTTTCCAAAGTTTAAAATTTTGACAAGGATATCACGTGTCTGGACAAGTCACAATTAGACCAGCAATGTAAACAAACAGAAGACAGGGGTGCTGTCAATTTACAACGTGTGAAATTTATACTGTTTACATTTTATTTGAGCTGATAAAGTTACATTATTGATCTAGGGTTAAAAAGTAGTTGTTTGCTGAAAATGAGCTATAACTTACATTTGGTAACTTGACACGGAACATTTTCCGGTCCAAACGAATGAAAGTGGTGTCACCAGAAGATCAAAGCTGCAGATATCGTAAGTTATCGCTACGTATTGCGACAATTACCATTCAAAATGGGCGATCGAAGTTACATGACGATCGAACTTGTGTGACTTGACGATATGTGAAAGTGTGAAATATCTGTTAAACTAACTTCGGCCTAACTACAGTCTCAGACTCTGAGTGGTAGTGAAATGTTTAAAAAAGGTCTTTACTGAGGAGAGATTAGTGCAGAAATGAGCAATGCAGGTTTTTTTCTAAGCCCAAAGCGACATTTGGAACTGACCATGGCTTTATGCAAATTAGAGTGGGATGATATTGTATTACAAAGGACACTTTTTAAATGCCCATTTTGAAATTAGACTTAGCTTCATTATAAAACAGCGGCTGACTTTGGGATAGGGATATCAGCAAAGACAATCCTTTAGGAGAGTTAAACTGGGAAAGTAAACGGCATGTCATAACAAATAATATCCAGTACTGCCGATCTTTTGAGTGATCATGCCACCTATATATTTTGAGACATTTAATATGATGGCTGATTGAGGCTTTTCTATGGGTATCATAGAATCTCAACATAAACATTATGTAAGGAGGACACATTAGATGTTAATCAATAGATGAGACATATTCAACACTCAAGAAAAAGAATAAAATATCTTTGAGATGACCCCCTTGTAGGCAGCTATTCATATTTTTTCAAAGTTTTGCCCAATTTTATGAGTAAAGAGGCTTTTCTATTTTCCGATCACGCATCCCACTGAACGCCCTGTTGGACCAAAGTAGGCGTAATTTTTAGGGATACTTAGTAACAGCCTAGAAACAGGTTTTTTTTCTATTTCTGACAGTACTTTAATTACAGTAACTACTAGTTAACTATCTGTAGAGACTTTACTGGATTCCTAATGTATCCTTCATTATCCCCCGCAACGCGTTTTGCAGGGGGTATTAAAATGGACTCCGTCTGTGCATCCGTCCGTGCACATTTGTCTTTTCCGGAGCAGAACTCTAAAAGCATTCAATATTTCTTCACCACACTTGGCACATACATAGATCTGGTGGTGTACTGGTGCCTTTTGGTAGTTTTGGAATTCTGAATAAAATATTTTTGGCGTTTCTATGGCAACAAGTTTGACTGAGACTGAATTTGGTGATAGTGCTCCTTTCAATGCTCTCCTCCATATATACACACCTAAATATCTGACATAATCATAACTTGTAGACATAATCATGAAGAGTATTTTGCCATTGCGGGGGATATTGATGACTTGTTTATCATCATTTGCAGCCAGAGAATAACAAAAGTCCAGGTTTGTGGTTGTATTACAACTCCTTGTCCTACTGGCTGTAATAAATGTAAAAAGCACCTGTTAATGACTAGAATAAAATGATATTGAAAGTTGGGACCATCCCAGCAGTGCCGAATGGATAACAAAATCCTCTTATGCTTGCCTCTTAAGTCAGCTTGAATGTACTTTATGATGCAGGAGGGGCTTTGGAAGAGGCGGTTTTGGAGTGTCGAATGGAACAGATGCAACGAAGAAAGTGTTTGGATTCCGTGGCCGAGGAGGCTTAGCTAAAGAAACTGATAACAGTTCTGGTGACAGCTCGAGTAGACCTGGTGGATTCACATCTAGGAATGGAGACAGTCAGAATGGGTTTGGTTCTAGAGGGGGTTTCGGAAGCCGAGGGGGTTTCGGAGGTTCTAGGGCCACATCAGATAATGATGGAGGATGGGGGGATTCGGGGAGCTCGGACTCGAAACCAAGTCGCGGTGGTTTTGGTGGTGGTCGAGGTGGCTTTGGAAGCAGGCCACAGGTAAATGGACAGAGTAATGATGACAACAGTTGGGGAGATTCGAAGCCAAGTAGAGGAGGATTTGGCAGTAGAGGAGGATCAAGAGGTGGAGGATTTGGAAGCAGGGGAGGTAACTATTGTCATTTGGTACTCAAAGAATATTGTGTTCAACAAAGAAACAAATCATTACAACCATAAATGGGATGACTTGCAAAACTTCCAGCTTATGTGCCAGAAATGTTTTAACTTTTTTATATATAGATCAATGTTATGGTTAATGGAGAATGATATTGCACTCGCCCTGTTTATATTTACTCTCTGCAGTCCAGTAGCTAATGTTGCAATATGCAACATATGACATCAAAAACATGTTTTTTATACAAATTGTTTTACTTCTTTTAGGTTTCGGGTCAAGTGATAATGACGACGCTCCAAGGTTGGTAATTGAATATTTTGAATAATGATCACTGATACATGTTATTTGATGAATATGGTCTATGATTATTCAGAGCTCCAGATAAGATTTAGCTAATGTGGGTACTGTACCCACTGTATTTTTTTGGAGTGGGTATTATGAATGTTGTGTGGGTATTTCATTTTCCGTTACCCACTGCTTTCAAATATGTACGTATTTCAGTTATTTTACACACCTAAGTATTGTGTCATTGAGTAAGTTTACTAAGCAGGTATGTTCTGCCTTATGTCATACCTAATCAAAACCAACTTAAATATAAGGGAAATGATTTTATAAAAAGTCTTCCTATACTGACAGTACAACACTTGTCCTATACTCACAGTACAAGTTGATGGCAATCGATGTCTTTTTCATTACGCAAGCGATTTTTATAAGTATATTCCATACGCATTTGTTTTAAACTCTTTGCGTATCTAACAGTTTAAATGCGTAATTGGTACGCAACAGTTATTTTTCAATGCGTAGTTGGAAAGTTTCTATGCATATTTTACCCGGATACGCAGCTTATCTGGGCCTCTGATTATTGATATGCCATTCCAAACTTTTATCATATTAAACAGTAAATGAAATGTGGCACTGATATTAACTACTATGCCATGTTTTCAGGGGCGGAGGTTTTGGTGGCCGTGGGGGCAGTGAGTATATGCGTTTAATTTATTATTTTACTGTCGTGTTATGTCAAACTGTTTCTCTAGTGTTATTGTGACACTGTATTGTAAAGAAAGGATATGAATTTTGGACAGGGAAAGAAAAACACATTAAAGATGTGTTTTCAGTTCAATGATAATGCATTTGTATTGGAAATAATTATGTATATCCCAAAATCTGCTATGCCAGAGAATGATTAAACATGAAAGTCTAGGGGTGTGTCGTGCACACAGATATTGATTTAGGAATCCTCAGATTCAAATACCACAACATGGAGTACCTGCATTATTTTCCACCTCTTTTTCATATTTAATTCACGGACTGCTTTGATTCACCCTTGCATTGTTTATGGGTTCATCACATTGCTGTATTCCCGGTTCATCAAAGTACTACTGGTCATGGCCTGCATCACTTCAAGGCTTTCCTCCCACATCAACTACACTTATCTTACTGCTCACTAGCTTACCTATTTCATTACCCATCTTCTGTTATTGCATGTATTCATTGCTTATCATGCTTCAGCACCATGTACACCTTGCATTATCAGGTAGCAGCGGCAGCGGGTGTTTTAAGTGTGGGGAGGAGGGGCACATGTCCCGAGAATGTCCTAATGCTGGCAGCTCTGGAGGTAATACATTGTCACATTGGTACAGGCAATTGTCTGTCTGGTTGCTGCCTTGTCAGCTTCATGGGATTCACCTTTCTGTAGTCGGCTGTCACACTGACTCATCCTCTCTGCTTGTAATTCATTTGTCATATGCCAGAAATAGTGATAGCTACATTTAGATACTGCCTGTTGTATTGTGATCACTTTAGATTACACATACAATTGTCCCTATTTGTTTCATTTTGCTTACTTCTCCCTGTTCATCTATACCAGCTTGTCCCATCCATGTTGATGATTTCACATGGAGTGGTATGCCTGTAGTGTTTCTCATGTGCTTGTGATCCATCTTCAGGGAGAGGTGGAAGCCGTGCCTGTTTCAAGTGTGGCGAGGAAGGCCACATGTCCAGAGAGTGTCCCAGTGGAGGAGGTAGGTTGGACATTCCTCGTCATCTAGAGAAAATATGTAGTACATTAGTGAGAGTTAACTCCTGTGGATGGGCTGTTTTAGAAGAGTGGCATCACTGATAGGATACTGACTTTGGCACAAGGATACACTAAGAAACAGCAGGTTAGATCATTAGAACACACATTTGTATGTAATGACGATACAAACTAAACCACACACACAGTTGTAAAAGTGTCGGCAAATATCCATGAAAAGCTTTACAATGTAAATGTTCGTCCTACCACAAAATATTTTCCTTATAAATGTCTTGGTGTTTTCAGGTGGCGGTGGAAGCCGTGCCTGTTTTAAGTGTGGTGAGGAAGGCCACATGTCCAGAGAGTGTCCCAGTGGAGGTGGAGGAGGTAAGTCATGTCACAAGTGCAACAGATTACGTCCATGAGCCCAGACATCCTATATCTTGATGATTTCAAAATGGCTAACACCTATTGATTGTAGAAATATTAAACTTGTGAGACGGGTCCACCATATGATGGAAGATATGGGACATTATCAGCAACACTTGTGATTAAATTTGCTAAACTGAAAACGCAAATGTTAAATAGTTAATGTGGTCATTCAGTTCCATGTGTTGAGTGTACAATTTTGTGATAATAGCAAGCTGACGTGAGTGTTGAAATTTAGGTGTTACATTTTGGCCACATAATGACGACTTGCGCGTCTCGAAACTGCTTAAATTATTTTCTTCTCTCAAGATGACAGTGGCATTATTCTGGTGATGTAGACTTTGTTATAGTAGCTATGAAAATGCTCAGAAAGTATTGTAACCAATTGTTCTAGGGGGTCAGTGAAGAGCCAAGCATAACATACTCAGGAAGCGACTGGACTTTTCTCTGCATAATATGAATTTGATGCATTGGGGATGACTACTTTGAAAATATTAGGCTGTAGTTTATGAATTGTTTGTGTGTATCATTGAATTCTTCCTCCCACGGACCGATACTTTCCTTATAAATGTCTTGGTGTTTTCAGGTGGAGGTGGAAGCCGTGCCTGTTTCAAGTGTGGTGAGGAAGGCCACATGTCCAGAGAGTGTCCCAGTGGAGGAGGAGGTGGTAAGTTGGTTAACTGAAAGTTTTTTCCAGTGTTGATATTTTGGTGAAAATCTAGGTTGTGTTTTTGTTAAGCCTGAATGAATTTATTTTTGTCCATCTTCTCTTCACAAAATAGCTGATGTAACATCATATTTTGGGTCCTTCACTTGAAATAAGAATAAGGCCAAATGTCATGGAATGTCTTACGATACCTGGGGAGACCTGATTTAGGAACATACCTGGGGACACCTGAGTTACTGTTATCAGTTAGTGATGAGTTTTCACAAAGTCGCCCCACTATATATGGCTATACATAGAGTTGATCATTGTTGAATTTGAGTAATTTGGTGAAACCCCCATGATATGTGTTCTTTCATACGTGTGGTCACTTCCATTGCAGGTGGCGGTGGTGGTAAGAAGGGCTGTTTTAAGTGCGGAGAGGATGGTCACATGGCAAGAGAATGTCCTAATGCAGACAGCTCTGGCAAAGGTGAGATATTATATGTGCAATAATATCTGAAAGGTACACTACTTAAAACAAGTTTAGAACCAACTGCTTCTTTCGTGTTACTAAAGTTAATCTGTTATGCTGTTTATCTCTGACCTTTTTTTGGGACCCGTGAAGATCTGGGTTAGAATTAGTCTTTAGTAACCCATGCTTGTCGTGATAGGCGACTAATGAGATCGGATGGTCAGGCTCGCTGACTTGGTCGACACATTTCATCATATCCTAATTGCGTAGATTTATGCTCATGCAGTTGATCACTGGATTGTCTGGTCAATTATTCAGACTGCAGCCATATATCTTGAGTATTGCTGAGTACCAACCATCCAAATCTGATTTTTATATATATATTTTTTTCAGTATGAAGATGAATTGATGTTTTACTTAATTGCATTGAATATTAACATGTACCTAGTAATTAAAAGGGTTTATCCATTTCACTTCAAGCAAATATCTTAAACATAGTGACTGACTCATCTATTATATCTTTACTGTATCCACATTGGCATGGAAACATTTCAGTAGCTGTGTGTAAAACATTGTAATCAACAAGTCAACCAGTTTAAGAAATAGAGGCTGATTGTACCTGAATAACATGGTGTCTGCATGTTGTCAGCAAGTTGACACACTGGTTTCATCACATTCTCAAACTGTATCTTCACGTTTTCTGCAGACGATCGTCCACCTCCATACATTCCTCCTGCACTGACAGAGAATGAAGATGAGATCTTCCAGTCCATAGAGAAGGGCATTAACTTTGACAAATACGACAATATCACTGTGGAAGTGAGTGGGAGAGACCCTGTTGGTTTCATCAGCGGTTTTGATGAAGCTGGTCTGTATCCCACGTTTTTGAAGAATGTTCGAAAGGCGAAGTATGAGAAACCAACCCCTGTTCAGAAGTATTCTATTCCTATTATTGCAGCTGGTCGTGACCTGATGGCCTGTGCCCAGACAGGATCAGGCAAAACGGTAACATTCATTTTATACATTCTTGCACATAATGCTATCATTTGATTCTTTAGTTTTTAGCATGAATTTGAACTTCTAAGGTTATACGCATGTCCAAGGTCTGGAGTTACCATATTTACCAATTTTCAAATGGGAGACATTTTGTTTGAGAGGGATCAAACCTTTGATGTGTGAATGATGTTTGAAGTTACACCATTTGTAATTGTTGGGATTTGCCCAAAAGCCTGCAGTATTCTCTTCGATTCTATAGAAATGGACATGTCATGAAAGGGTCAAGGTCACAAGTTGGGCAATTCACAAAGTGAAACTTAATGTATTTTGTTTGTGGATATAGTTATTGACATTAAAGAATATCCTGAAATCGTCTTATTCCATGTGGATCTGTAAAGAGCTCAGAACTCAGTGTCACAGAATTGAAAAATATCACTCAAAAGCTGGTAATTACATTTTCTCGAAGTATTTATGCATGTACTTAGTCAGTTTGAATGTCGCGATGTCAATCTGCTGGGAAAGGATAAGGTTGAAGTGAAGACAAAGTTACCATTCAGCTTAATATAACGTGGCTGTATTTGTGTGTAAGGCATGTGTGATGTTCATTAGATTTAAGTAGTAATGCCCCACATGTTACATTGTTTCCAGGCTGCATTCTTGTTGCCAACATTAACCTGTATGGTCAAGGAGGGATTGACCACTAGTCAGTTCTCAGAGGTACAAGAGCCTCAAGCCATCATTGTGGCCCCCACCAGGGAGCTGGTGGTACAGATCCACTCTGATGCTCGCAAGTTCTCTTGGGGGACGGAGGTTCGCCCCGTGGTAGTGTATGGGGGAACGTCTGTTGGGCATCAGCTGAGGGAGGTGGAGAGAGGGGCACACATTGTGGTGGGGACTCCCGGGAGACTGCTGGATTTCATCGAGAAGGGCAAGGTGAGAGACCGTCCATTGTCACACTCAAATACTAATTTAAAGATTAAATGCTAAATGATTATTTTCAGTGTGAAATCTGGAATTTGTTGTGAACTTATCCAATATAAACAATCACACGCAAACATTGTCTGGCCTAGGCCTGTCTGCTCTTGTTATAAACTATTGATGATGGAGGATTGGTGTGTATGTTTCCAGATTGGTCTGGGTAAGGTGAAGTTCCTCATTCTGGACGAGGCAGACCGAATGTTGGACATGGGCTTTGAGCCGTGTATACGCAAGTTAGTAGAGCAGCTGGGAATGCCCCCTAAGACCCAGAGACAGACACTAATGTTCAGTGCTACATTTCCCACGGAGATACAGAAACTAGCAGCTGATTTTCTGAATGATTACTTGTTCCTGACAGTGGGACGTGTGGGTGGGGCCAACACAGATGTAGAACAAAACTTCTTTGAGGTTGACAGACTACAGAAAAGGGAGAAACTTTGTTCCATCCTCACAGAATCTGGTGAGTCTGTTTATTTACTTCTCACTTTTATTTTGCTTTTCACGTTCGCTTGTCATGCCAAAGATCCGGGTTTGATTCCCCACATGGTTACCATGTGTGAACCCATTTCTGGTGTGCCCCAGCCGTGATGCTGCTGAAATATTGCTAAAAGCGGCGTAAAACTATACTCATTCACTATTTTGCTTTTCAGATTTGATTGAAATCAAGAATGGTTTAAGGTTTTCTCTTTCCTGACCACTTAATCTTTCATGGGGCCTGCTTGGCGGCATCTGCTTGGAGTGTGGCAAAATGTTTACTTTCTTGAGCAATAATCCCTGAAATGCTATGTTTGAAATGTTTCTGGCTGATGCAAACAACGTGTGACTGATCCAGAACGCTGAGATAACTAAACACATCTACTCATTGTTACTTTAAATGTATCAAATCTTTTGCTTTATCACAAGTAATTTTGTTGTTTCTGTACTAAACTAACCAACCAAAACATTTGGGGAAAATATTAAATGTTGGGCTACACGTTATTTTTTATCACCTAATGTTACTGGTTTGCTAGTTGTGAACAATAGGATTTGGATCTTGTATTTGCTTCAGTTCTCTTGACTTATCTACATTGTATTTTTGTTAGTTGATATGCTCTTCAACGAAGTGTCATTTGCATTTTCAGGTTCAGACAAGACCCTGGTGTTTGTGGAACAGAAGAGGAATGCAGATTTCTTAGCTAGTTATCTGAGTCAGTCTGGCTTCCCCACCACAAGTATCCATGGGTAAGTGGCGCTGTTGACACTTCAGGAATATCCCGTGTATCTCTGGTAGTGCACCAGCTTGTCCCCTCTGTGGCGCATAATCTCTTGAGTGGCAGAGTTTGTCTGATGTTTCAGAATGGGCCTGAGAACATAATAGTTCACAGCATTAAAGTCTACATTTAGGGCTTCACTGCAGTGTGTAGCACTGTACGGGGATTAATGTGTGTTGACCCCTGTAAAATATAATACAGATATATTAGTATTGAAATGATTCAGCAAGGTCACGATGCATATCGATGCACAAGTCACAATATGATACATATTGCGGTTCGCCTATTCATGTCAAATCACATAGAATCCTTGGCTTTAAACGTTTTGGGGCAGGTTCAAAATTAGGAGCATTTATTTATTGTCCCCGCCGCAACACGGAATGGGGGACTATGTGTTCAGCGGTGTACGTATGTACGTACGTCCCGATTCTTGTTAACGCGATATCTCATGAACTGTTGTACACAATGTCTTGAAATTTGGTGACAGCCTACATTGGGAGATTATGCAGACACCAGACGATTTGGGTGACCTTGACCTTATTTTCAAGGTCACCACGACACTGACCACTTTTCAAACTGTTAACGTGATATCTCATGCACTGTTGTACCCAGTGTCTTCAAATTTGGTGACAGTTTACATTGGGGGATTACACAGACACCAGTTTATTTGGGTGACCTTGACGTTATCTTCAAGGTCACCACGATACTTTGACCGCTTTTTAAAGGCGATATCTCATAAAACATTGCACCCAATGTTTTAAGTATGTTGACAGCCTACATTGGGTGATTATGCAGACACCAGTCATTTCAGGCATCTTGTATGTGACCCAAAAATAAAAAGTAGTAAATATAGATATTACATTCTTTAGTGGCGGGGGACATTGCCACATCAGTGGCAAACACTTGTTTGTTGTTGTTTTTTTGTTTTTGGTTTTTTGCACAATTTTTAGTAGTGCAGTTCATTTTGCAGGGGAAATTACTGTCAAGACACTTGTGTTCAGGAGTGTTGTTCATGAGCGCCAAGTACTTAAAACTGTTGTATCTGGTCACCCCTCTAGAATATCAAATTGTTTGTGTGCACACACCACACATTCCTGGTTTCAAATTTTCCATGCGATTTCTCTTGTCCATAGTGATCGTCTGCAGAGGGAGAGAGAGGAAGCCTTGAGGGATTTCAAGAAAGGAACCGCACCTATTCTGATTGCCACATCTGTGGCTGCTAGAGGGTTGGATATTCCAGAAGTGAAGCATGTAGTCAACTATGACCTGCCCTCATCCATTGATGAATATGTTCATCGTATTGGCAGGACAGGTCGCTGTGGCAACTTGGGGAAAGCAACAAGTTTCTACTCCCATGACTCTGACAGTGCCTTAGTGAAGAGTTTGGTTCGAATTCTAACAGAAGTAAGTTGTTAAAGGCTCTTGTACGTATAATACCAGATTGGTGGAAACTTGTGAAGTTTTTATGTGTATGTGTTCTAGCTAGCCTTACTGAGGTTCCTACTGTTTGCTCCCCAGGCTCACCAGATAGTGCCTGAGTGGTTGTCAGACTACTCCCTGACCAGTGATGGAGTGATTGACAGTGCTGTCCACGGCTTGTCAAGTCAGTATGGTGGAAAGGATATCAGAAGGGGGAAGGTAACATTTAACATTTCTTATGTTTTTCCTTATCCTGACTAATGCTTATTTGCTTATTTGCTTTGTCATCCTCTTGCGAATGGTCAAGTGGAAACTTGAATCCCTTCAATTCCCTTGAAGCGAACATACAATCACTCACCCTGAATTACCTCCCTTTTCCCGCCAAAACTGGCACGTGACCTGCCATGCCTTGCTCTTCACTCTCTCCTCACTTCAGGATCCTTTCGCGGCTTATAACTTCAAATATTTTGGATATATAGCACAAATTGTGCCGTGATTGTGTTTCTTAATATGTTGTTTATCACATTTATAAACAAAATTTGTACATTGTATTGTAAGTTAATTCACAATTTCACTTGTTCCAGGTGACTGTTTGTTCACATGTTTTCAATGTAAACAACAGTCCATCACTTCTCAACACTTGATTTACACCCTGGGTGTTCTTGGCTGGTTTATGGTTTGAATATGTCTTGATGTTTGATTATTGTGTTTAATCATGTGTATATATTGAATTTATGACTTCATATATCTGTTGAATTGTGAAATATCAGACTTATAAAAATTTCATATGTGATTGAATTTTGAGCCTTAAGTTATACAACCTGTTGTCAGATTCAACCAGCCTGCGTGAGAAGGTGATACAGTCTTGAGTGCTGTGAGTTGCTGCGACTACGTCTTGAGAGCTGTGCTGATCTACGATGTCATCCCAGTCGAAGTCTGCGATGTCACCAGTAGGGGAGAAGTCTACCCCACGTACTGTAAGTAAAAGGAAGTCCCCACAGGCAGAGATGGCGCAACATAAGAAACATGGGACGGCCGCTTCAGGGAAGCAGTCCACGTCATCCAGGCACTCATCTAGATCTTCCTACTCTACAAGATCTTCGAGGTCGTCGTTGCATAACCCTATGCAACGACCTTCAACAGATGTTGGGGCACCTGGTGCTGAAGTAGATGGTTCCAGTCCTTTGGGACCTCCAGTGTTGCAGCCTGAGGTCTTCCTTGCAGCGTTGCGTTTGGCGTTTGAAAACGCTATGTCGTCAGCGATGTCGACAGACGAGTCAGTTGCAGTCATCCCGCAGCAGTGTCCGATTAGGAACGCAGAGGTCCTCAACGTTGAAGATTTTGCTGACACCATCGCCCGTAGGGTCATGATGCAGGCCTTGGAGAAGAGGCTAAAGCGGGAGAAGAAGCAGACGGTTCCTGAGAACAACATTGCAGAGAGGCGAGATGATGGCAGACATCGCAGACCAGTCCTTTTCTACGTCGTCAGCAGTCAACGTAGACATCTCTAGTCAGAGCCTAGCAGCTGAGCGGGGACAACCTGCAGAAGATGATGACTTCGTCTTCACTGAGGCAGAGGTGCTGGCGTGGGTGGCTGATGGTCTCCCGATATCGTCTCCATCCGGAGATTTGAGTCCGGCCAAGACGTACTGCATGAAGGAAGATGACTTGGAGTCGGTTACCATACCGCCGATGAAGCCCATTGCGCAGGTTGCAGACAACCTGAAAATAGCCTTTGAAAATGCCTCAAAGACACAAGGGCAGCATACTCCGCAGTTCAGCACTAGATGGTTCCGGCATCATAACATGAACCACTTCAACAAGGCGCCTGACTCGCAGTCTTGCAGTTACAAGGTGGAACAGCTTGATACGATAACCCGTAGGGCTTTTTAGCAAGGTCAGAGCCATCAACGAAGCGCTGATGTGTGCTTTCAAGCATCCTAAGACGGAAGAACGGATGATCCGGTCTACACTAGTGTTACAGCGCATGGATCAGGAGTTTATCTCCGATCACTTGGCCTCTACGTCGGCAGGCATCACACTATTACGTCGTCAGGGGCTGCTGAGTTCCTCTACATGGCCAGATGTCTACACCAAGCCTTTACTACGAAAACCTTGGGCACTGTTTGAAGGCGGCATCCGGCAGTTGTCGCGTGAAGTAGCAGACTACTTGTGTCATCTGAGGTCCACTAGACATCTGAAGGGCTCGACGCTGTCTACATACCTTGTGGCAATCATCTCGGTCATCACCATGAAGACGGGTGAAGTTGACCAAGGTGCCTGAACTAGTGGCCCTGCTGAGATCTTTCAAGTTGGAAGATCAACAACAGAAGTTCAGAGCACCAGCATGGGACCTCAACATAGTGTTGCAGCACCTCATCAGTGATGTATACGAACCGCTGACGCAGACGACATTTGAGTTATTAACTAAAAAGATGATATTCCTCCTCGCCTTGGCTACTGCTGCCTTGATTTCAGAAATACACGCCCTTGACTTCAGCCGTACGAGATTCGACACGGGAAGAAGGGAAGCAGTCCATCTGGCCTTAGATGGGACTTTATAGCCAAGAACCATCTACCGGGCCAACCGGATCTTCAGTTCTACGTTCCGGCATTATCAACAATCCTGGGTCCAGAAGACACTCAAGATTTAACTCTATGTCAGAGCGCTGAGAATCTACTTGCAGAAATCTGCTACGAGAAGAAGGAATTTCAAGCGTCTATTCATCCCGCTATCAACCGCTACAACTGTAGAAGTATCCCGTACAATGATCTCCTTCTGGATCAGAGCAGTGATCCTAAGAGCCTATAAAGCAGCAGGGTTAGAGCCTCCAAGAGTATCAAACCCACATGAAGTTAGGGCTTTGGCCTTGACACTCGCCCTACATAGAAACTGCTCTATATCATCTATAATGGAAGGCTGCTTTTGGAAGTCAGACACTGTCTTCGCTAATCACTACCTGAGAGACATCTCCACAGAAGACGTATCAGGGATACACCAGTTCGGCCCTCTAGTCGTAGCGCAACAACTCACTGTACCGGCCAGACATTGAAGAAACTCGCCCTTGTCACGCAGATTCTTTGACGCCAGGCAACTGTCCATTGCCACCAGCTGAGAGTCCATGTTCCCCTGACTTACAAGATAAGTCAGCGCATGAGTGATACATAGACTCAGTTATGGTATTGTTCTTGCCTTAACAGATGGGTCGTGATTCAAGTTTCGGTAAAGTTCTTACCGTAACATTGGGTCGTTGCAGATATCTAGACAACCAGGCGTCTAGTATACTAAATCCACAAAACTTAAGAAGTTTACTTCTAATACGAATGTATAAGAAGGTGGTCCCCCGACAAGCATCAAGAAATATTGAAGTTGGCCGCAGAAGAAGAAATTCCCAGGGGGTATATATATCAAGCGTGAACGCTGACGTGAATACAATCATACAGGGAATCCCGGTAGGTGGTTGACCCACCACCGATTCAGTCGGATTCAGTAAGCAAATAAGCATGAGTCTGGATAAGGAAAAATATGTAATTTTTATGATAAAATTAATATTTTATACTTATCCTGACTCATGAGATGAAGAAGCCCTCCCAACCGTCCCCTCACCACACAGGTTTCCCTGTAAACCTGCGTGGGGCTTATATCGGAGAGTGAAGAGCAAGGCATGGCAGGTCACGTGCCAGTTTTGGCGGGAAAAGGGAGGTAATTCAGGGTGAGTGATTGTATGTTCGCTTCAAGGGAATTGGAGGGATTCAAGTTTCCACATGACCATTCGGAAGAGGATGAGAAAGCAAATAAGCATTAGTCAGGATAAGTATAAAATATTAATTTTATCATAAAAATTACATTTTGAAACTTATGGAATTGTTTGTAAGAATCAGAATAAAATAGACAACAGATATCAATTGTGGAAGCATAATATCAAATGTCCCAAGCAGAACCCAGATGAAGTACTGGCTGTCATACCGAGGACTGTGTATACCAATATAGGAATACAGTCGGTCACTGTTTTCTTTTACAGTTCAATTCTGGAGGTGGAGGTGGTGGCGGAAAATCAGGCAATGCCTGGGAGAACAGCTGGAGTGGTGGCGGGGGCGGTGGATCTTCTGCTGCTGCTGCAGATGCTGACGAGGAAGAGTGGGACTAAATCTTTCCTGAACATCTAGTTCTTGGAGCACCAAAAAGACATTCGGTTCAATTTATTTGGTAATATTTTACAAGGACTTCATTGTTGCTGTTGCTTTTCGTACTTCATTCTGACAAATTTTCGAAGCCTTTTGTGAAAGCTGGAAGGCTATGTTGACTATGGATATCCCTCATCATTTGATGCATCAGCAGATCTTTGATGCATTGTGTGAATGTGACAGTGTTGCAGCTGCCGTGTTAGACTGTGATGACAATCGGAGAAATTAGGACACGAGATGGATATCAGTTTACGAAAGACTTACTATTTCTGTTTCATTTCACTGCAAGATTGCAAAACACATGTATTATTTGGTAAAGTGCTCAAACTTACAAGAGTAGGCAGATCAGTTAGCTGTGTAAAGGCCATACAATCTGAGAGTTTTCCTAAGACACACTGGAGTCGATCCATCCCTGGCAAACTCCTCCGAATACATGGGCATTATATTCCTGATATTAAGCATGGATATATCAATAGGTCTCAAGATTGGTAGCTATACAGTATGGTCTGGGCCACTTTGTAGGGATGGAGGAAGTTTGCAGGGATGGATTTGTTGCTGCTTAGGGGTTTCTATTGTGGTGTCCACTTTAGAGACTCTTGACAGCCAAGAGCTCAATGTACAGAGAACGGGCATGTGTATTTAAACTTGAAGTGAACTCGTAACAGAATATTGAGTGCAGTACTGTGTTGAAACCCGAGGTGACAGGTTGACTCGTGTAAACATGGGTTGTCATACATTAATCCGTCCTTTACTGGAAACATTCCATGGTTGAAGTGGACACAAAGAATTAATCAAAACATCGTGTGCAAGCTAGTCATACGGGTAAAAGATTTAACTTTGCTCAATAGCTATCACTGCCCAGTCCTAAGGGTGCAAGTACTGCTTCCAGTACCTGGTACCCCTGTACTAGCTCTGAATGTGTATAGTGGAGTTGATAGCAGATTCCAAGTGAAATCTCATGTGCCAATAGCTATTGTGATGCCAAATCTTTAAAAGTTTGTATACAAAAAAAAGTTTTTAGTATAATTTTTGATGTACGGTGCTGTAATATTGTTTTCATTATGGTTACTTTTAATAAATGTTTTGTAATTAAACAGTTTATGTTGTTTATAAGGGTGTTCTCCATTGGTTTTATTGGATGGAATATTGGTTCTTTTATGGAAGATTTTTATTATTTCTGTGAGATGCTTAGTGTTTTCAGATGGTCTGAGATAAAGGTGGCAATCATTGTTTGCTGAAAGAGGCAGCCAAATGAATTAGGTGGTCAGAATGGTGACAGCATATATTGATGTTCTAAATCTCCTTGCCGAATTATTTACAGACTGCCATCTGATAGCTGGAATATTGCCCAGTGCAGCTTTAAGGCTCAAAGAAAGTTGGAATAAATGCTAATAATTTACAACATTCTTTCTTTGAAAACTAGTAAAACATTCTACATATCACCAGTTAAAGCCACCTATGTTCGTGAGTCTTCAGGACTCGGAAATAGGTTACATCCAAGTGATCTCTGAAATGTTAGATGTATTTTGCAGTATCTAAACTCAATTTATTTCCATTTCGTTGAAAGAGGAAGCATTTTCATACCACTATTTCATTTCTTACATATCTTAATATGATCTTACCAGATACTAGGTCAGGTTTTCATTCTCAAGTTGTTCCTGGTTCCGACATAGCTGCTTGTGACAAAGGAGGAAGTCCACACACAGTTCCATCACACAACTGTTTATTTACAAACTGGTATATGACAACAGTGCAACAAAGTGTACAACATGGTAATAAAACTAGCTGAATACACAATAGGTAATACTGTAGTGGTGAAAATCTCGCATTTCTACATCGACTCTTCTATGCAAGTAGAAGTCATTTTCAGATCTTGTATCAAATAATATAATCTGAATACTTTGCCACTTGAAGAGCAGCTACTGTTTTTTATCCATGAATTAAGTTATAATTCCCCCACATGTTGGTGACCATTACAAAATGCAGTGATCAACTAAAGCATGCATATTGCACAGACCAGCAAAGGGTCCCAGGTCTAAGATCTGGCACAAAAAAGTTTGATTGTTTACAAAATGTCAGTCTTTCCTTTCCCCTCTCTCTCTCTCTCTCTTCCCCCCCCCCCCCCATATGGAGTGTAGCCCTGTGTGACTCGGACCAACCCTGTTTCTACACTACAAACAACCGGGCAGTTTGTATATTAATCAAAATTATCATGAGCTTAAATTAGTAAAACATCCTCCAAGAAAATACTTGTCATGCACTACAAACGCTTCGTTTTTTGTAAAATAATATACAAAATCATTTGCTTTGTTACTATGTTCCTTTCTTTTAAAAAAAAATGTTTAGAGATCGTGTCACCAAATTATACCCACACTGACGAGTAGAACAGCGCAGCATACACTTCTGCACAAGCTGTGCTGCAGCCTAGTAGAAAACAGCACACACCTTGCTAAATCAGCGATAACAACACTAAATGTGAAACTAAATCTCGTAGGATAATACTGTTGAGTAACAAATTGTAAAGCAAACAAAAAAATCAAAAACCATGAAAATAGTCCTCATTGTAAATTCTAGAGAATATGAAATGGTAAAGTGAAACATTATAAGAAGTTGAGATTATACCAAAATAGAAATACTGCATGAAATGCATAAAATGTTTGTAACAGGCATACTTGCAAAGTGGGTGCATACAACAGGAACTGACAATATGCCAGAGTCAAAGTACATGTTATCTTGAAAGCAGGCACTCGGGTACATGAGGTAATATATGTATATACTTTGATTCTGTTTGCTTTAATAATTATATTGTTTTTTTTAAAAAAATGCAAAAACATTCCTTTAACTCGGAAAAAATATTTTAAGATATAAAACAATTATCCCAAATTGTGCGTCTATTTGATAGTAAGCAGTGATTGTTTTTTCATATTCTTATGACAGCAGTTATGTGACTTGCATTGTGGAACAGCGTTATCACAGACAGTTTAAACATGACACCAAAACAATATCCTCTAACAGCACCACTGGCCACAACATATATATGTATATACATGGGAGATGATCTGACAGTGTCCTTCCATATAATCCCCATGAGGAGGCAGATCAGATCATCTGCAACCAACAACTGCTATGTTTAAATTGACATCAGTTCAACATAACACTTTTCAAGCTCTCAGATCATGCTTGTTATCATCTGTTAATGTGCAAATTTTAATGTTTCAGTTAGACTGTGGGATTCAAGTATCGCATATATAAACACATCAAGATATTATGTATTTTATCATGTTTTCTGTGAAATTAACCTTTATTTGAATGGGGCATTTCAGCATTTGGCCTCATTGATCACTGACATTATCAAATATATATTCTGTGATATGTAGCTTTTAACCATCCTCTGTATATATCCATGAACTGTGGTGTTTGTCCCTCCACCAACTGCAGAGAGGGTTAGACAACTGTGGTGTATATCCCTCCAACAACTGCAGAGAGGGTTAGACAACTGTGGTGTATATCCCTCCAACAACTGTAGTGAGGGTTAGACAACTGTGGTGTATATCCCTCCAACAACTGTAGTGAGGGTTAGACAACTGTGGTGTATATCCCTCCAACAACTGTAGTGAGGATTAGACAATTGTGGTGTTTGTCCCTCCAACAACTGTAGTGAGGGTTAGACAACTGTGGTGGCTCTTTTAGTTGTGTATTGTGACTGAGATTTCCCAGGGGCCTCTGGAGGGACTATAAAGACACGGTCTTCCAGGGGAACATCCTTGGCTCGTATTCTCTCCCTGGAAATAAACATGATAGCTTATGATGCAGCCTGTGGTTTTAGCTTCTTTCCTACACATTTGTAAAAAGAAAATATGTTTTGGCAAGAACCTGAAAGGGTTCTTCAGAACTTGTATAAATCTGCAATTGAACACCTATGGTGAAGCGAAGTGAAGGGTTGCATGAACAATGAGGAGCTAAGATGCTAAAGGGTGCACAGAGGCTCACATAGAGTCTCCAAGGACAAAGTTCATCTAAAGGCAAACATAAAGAAAGGGTGTCGAATGATTGGGATAGAAAATACCATTCAGGGCTAAGATAGCAAAATGGTGTTCATGGTCAAGAAAGTAAAGAGCCTCCAAAGGCAACATTAGTAAAGAGCATCTAAGGGCTTAGATAGTAAAGTGTGCCCAAGGGGGCTAAGACAGTGAATGTGTTGAAGGGCACAGGTAGATAAGTGTGTTGAAGGCTCAGATAACCTAGCATACCATCCCCTGTTAACATGATGTTTTCCCCATGTACAGTTCTACCATGAATAAGAAAATATTCTTTCAAAGATCTTTTCTGCCAACCATGCATAACTTATATTGGGTAATAATACTCCTTAGTAGCCTACTTATGTACAGTAACAAATCTCAGCTTTTTCATTAACTCACTTGAGGAACTTTTCCATGCCAGCTGACAGTTTCCCTGTACGAGACTTGAACACACTGCCATGACCATTCCTGTGTTGGGCTTCCTCCCACTTCTGGATGTCATAACGCCCTGCACCCACTGGGTTCTGCAAGCAGAGAACATACAGGTTGGTCACAACAAACAGATGCAGCTCCATTTACCATCGTACACCATGATAGGGAATAGGTGACTATCCTATGGAGAGAGTTTGACAGTATGTTCATTTGCAGTTAAATCTCTACTACGGCACAAACAAATGCACCAGTTATTTTGTAGATCTGAATGCCTTGGTTGAATGTTGTCCACAGGGACTACACCCCAACACACAGTGTAAATACTGATCACTGGAGTCATTACTTTATCACTGACATGGGTTATTTTTGTCCAACCTATTTGTCATCACTCCCTAATGAAACCTCTGATACAGAGATATACTGACCATTCCAAATGACAATAGATACAAGATGTTGGTTTCAGATGACATTGGCTCACTATACTCGCTTCAGGTTTAGTAAAGAAGACTTGTAAACCAAGTATAATTACTTGTAAATATAACAAGAAGACAAGGTTTTGAGAGAGTACAAACATGATTGCAAGAGCACCTGGTTCACTGACTTCTGAAAAGATAGCTGATCTTCCATACCGGTACAATATGGGTCCTCAGTTCTTTATATCAGATACCTCACCCATCACAGGCAAAAGGGTAACAAGAGTTGCACGTACAGAAAACTTGAACTTACAAAGTTTCTGGTAAAGAACCTCTGTGATACCCGGTCATTCCTCTGAGCAGACGACAGGAAGCCCGGTGAGTTGGTGGAGGCAGCTTTCACTACTGGTTTGGGGTCATAGTTACCTGGGCCAGGAGTGTTCTGAAATATTTCCACACATCAGTAATTATAGAATTTACTTACCCCAGGTCAAGGTCAATCAATGTTCTAATGAGGTAAGGTGAAATTGGGTTTAACGTCATGCTTGAGAATATTTTGCTTATATGACGACGTGCATGCGTGTGTATGTGTATGTGCGGCTGCTTGTACTAACCCAGACTTAAGCTGGTTTTATAGAGATACCATGCCGCAGTGAAGCATGAATACCCCACTCAGACACATACTGATTCCGAGCCGACCAATCCTTGATGTACCAATTAATGCCAAGCGCCAGGCAGGGACCAACAAGTACCATATTTTAACGTCTTTTCCGAAACTGTTGCCTCCTGCTTGTTTTATGATTATGGGCTGTTGGGCTATGTCTGTGCCAAATTTCAGTTTCCTGCCAGAAGTGAACATAAATTTCACCAAGCTGCTCCACTAAATGTTCTAATGTGCATCATGAGAAATGAAGCTCAGTGTTAGAGCTGCATGGAATCTACAAACACAACACTCTGTCCTGACTGATTCCTGGACTAAAACAACATTAATACGCTGAGACTGACAAATACAGAGATAATAACAAGTGGTTCTTCCATGACCCTCTTCATTTTGAATTATATGATAAAGTCTTTGAATGACGTTTAGAGGGGGCACATTTATGGATGCCAACTTCTGTAATATGAGGAACACAATGTAGCTGGCATCCACAACTATGCCCCTGTTATCTTATATTGAAACCTTTTCTAAACCCTTTCTACCATAGAGTGTACCTCTTGTTTCTGACACTGAGAGAGTGTACTACAGAAGATCCTCTCTGTCGGAGTACCAGGGTATTGGGACACTTTGCCAAACTTGCCCTGTCGCTTGCGATGGATTGTGTCCCAGTTGGTTAAGAAGGACTTGAGGTCATACTGACCAGGGCCAAGGTCAGCTAGTTTCTAAAAACAAAAGTAGAATAGTCATCAGTTTTTACAGTACCAGATATCAGGTGACCATATTTTAGTGCCCTGTTCCTTTTCATTCCTCTCAATCTTCACAACCAAATTGTAACTAAACTTTGTAAGAGACCTATTCATGGACAAATGAAATTACATGACAATCTGTATTCTATCTTTCTTATACAATTCTCACATTTACATTTTCATATAATATTTCAAACATTTTAATGTTTCCACATTTGAGAGAAATGCTGGCTAAGCAGGTACTGCAAGTATACTGGTGTTTCCTACTGACCGGTGCTGCCAGGTACCCCACTGTGATAGGCTTGTTCCGGTCCCCAGAGAAGAGATCATAAGGCCCTCGGACACTGGTCACCTTGCTGCCCATCTGTTCTGTGAAGCTCTTGAAGTTGTAGGTGCCTGGTCCCAACACTGACCCCTACAGTCAAACATATACCACCTGATTTAGGAACAAACATATACCACCTGATGTAGCAACAAACATATACCACCTGATGTAGCAACAAACATATACCACCTGATGTAGAAAACACACACACCTCATCCCAACACCCTTGACCCCTACAGTCAAACATACACCACCTGATGTACCAACAAACATATACCACCTGATTTAGGAACAAACATATACCACCTGATGTAGTAACAAACATATACCATCTGATTTAGCAACAAACATACCACCTGATGTAGCAACAAACATATACCACCTGATTTAGGAACAAACATATACCACCTGATGTAGCAACATACATATACCACCTGATGTAGAAACAAACATATACCACCTGATGTAGCAACAAACATATACCACCTGATGTAGTTACAAACATGTACTACCTGATGTAGAAAACACACACACCTCGTCCCAACACTGACCCCTACAGTCAAACATATACCACCTGATGTAGCAACAAACAAACACCACCTGATGTAGCAACAAACATATACCACCTGATGTAGTAACAAACATATACCACCTGATGTAGTTACAACCATATACTACCTGATGTAGTTACAAACATATACTACCTGATGTAGAAACAACATATACCACCTGAAGTAGAAACAAACATATACCACCTGATGTAGTTACAAACATATTCCACCTGATGTAGTTACAAACATATACCACCTGATGTAGAAACAAACATATACCACCTGATGTAGCAACAAACATATACCACCTGATGTAGTTACAAACATATACCACCTGATGTAGAAACAACATATACCACCTGATGTAGAAACAAACATATACCACCTGATGTAGTTACAAACATATACCACCTGATGTAGTTACAAACATATACCACCTGATGTAGAAACAAACAAATACAACCTGATGTAGAAACAAACATATACCACCTGATGTAGAAACAAACATATACCACCTGATGTAGTTACAAACATATACCACCTGATGTAGAAACAAACATATACCACCTGATGTAGTTACAAACATATACCACCTGATGTAGAAACAAACATATACCACCTGATGTAGAAACAAACATATACCGCCTGATGTAGTTACAAACATATACCACCTGATGTCGAAGCAAACATATACCACCTGATGTAGAAACAAACATATACCGCCTGATGTAGTTACAAACTTATACCACCTGATGTAGTAACAAACATACCACCTGATGTAGAAACAAACATATACTACCTGATGTAGTTACAAACATATACCACCAGATGTAGAAACAAACATATACCATCTGATGTAGTTACAAACATATACCATCTGATGTAGTTACAAACATATACCACCTGATGTAGAAAACACACACATGGTCCCCAAATTGACCGATACAGTCAAACATACACCACCACCCGTGAAGTTCCAGATTAGAATTGATTTTCAGCAACCCATGCTTGTTGAAAGAGGTGCCTAATGGGATCGGGTGGTCAGGCTCGCTGACTTGGTTGACACATCATATTCCAATTGTGTGGATCAATGCTCATGATGTTAATCACTGGATTGTGTGGTCCAGATTCAGTTATTTACAGACCACCATCATATAGATGGAGGAAAATTGCAGCGTGAAACAAACTAACAAACATACACTACCTGATGTACCGGAAAAAAGATCTGGTAGTAATGCAAGCAAACAATCAAATCACATTTTTGCAACATCACTAAGTTAACTAGGATTTGGTGTCTAAGAATATTATAACACCTTACTTAGCATGTCTCTAAATAATTAAAATTCATTTCAAAGAAAGATTTCATTTACAATCATTGTTTTGTGTCAGAATGGTATATATTATTGTACAATGACTGATCCAGAATATCTGAAATATTTTTTAAAACCTTTTGAGGATACAGAATAATGTCCTCTAAAAAATCATAAAAATGTATATTAGCCATTTTTCTCAAGAAAATTCACTGTATGATGAGTAGAACATAATTGTTTTAAGCAAAAAGGCAATAGTGAAATCTGATTGAATAAATCATGCATATTATTCAATAACTACATTTGTCTACCCAAATACTAGAAATTATGTTACTATGCCTGTTCCAGTGTAACTTGATAATAATTAACTGAGTGGCATGCAATACACTGAGTGTCTCTATCCATGCTCATTCATCACCTCCCACCATTAGGGTGTATCATGCCTAGAGAAATTAAATAACCCATTAACAATTAAAAAAACAAGGACATTATGATGATAACACCAGTATATCAGTTGAGGACATTAAAGACTATTAAAACTTGTTACTGTATATACTCACCAAATGTATAAACTTGACACTTGTTAAATTGAATTACACAATGGAAGTAGTGTTTGCATTGTGAATATAGGTCACACTGCTATCATCGAGGTAACAATACAGACAATGACCATTGGTCAATGAATAAATTACATTCATAAAATGTAATAAAAAGGAGCCCAGTGACTTTCATTTTCAGAAACTTAAATTTATTCTCATCACTGCATAATTTAAAGAGTGACTGGATATGGCAGTGTTGCTGGATCTGGTGAGCGACTATGGAGTGTGTATGGAGCTGCCCTGGAGGTAGACAGGATGTAACTGACTCCTGTGAACCTAAACAAGTTATTCTGTGAGTGCCTTCTACCTACTGTTGTCTTGGAGGTGACTGGGTTTAACAGCATTTTAACAGTATTTGTGGATTGTAGACATTTAAAACTTTGGTGAAACCCACATGCTGAACCGAGGAGAATGGATCTGGGATTTGGGGCAGATAATCAGTGACAACATGGCTGTAATTCCAAAGGCTACAAGACATGTTTTCTGAGTGTAATGCAAATAAACCAGGTGTCCGACCCATACAACGTTCTGTGTGGTTATCTACATTATGTCAGATTCTAAACAAGGAACATTTGATACATGGCACTGACAGTATATCAGGAAGACTTTACAAACTTCAGATTTTATTTGATCTGATAATCTAGTATGGATAATCCAACAAAAGCAAATTCGAAAGGTTACTGATTTAATGGAAGTACTGCATTTCATCAAATCTATTCATATTAAACTGGTTAGGCAAGTGCACTGCATCTACCATAGTAATGTCAGGACAAAACATTCAGTTAATGCTGTAGGAATTACAGCAATATATAATTCAACCAATCTGTGGACCAATGTTACTTAGTTTACCTGAGTTATGGGGCTATAGATTATATTCATGAGTAGGTATGCCCAAATATCAGGCTTTTCACAAAAACAATTTATCTCAGACATGATACAGATGGTGCATTAACATATTTGAATTCTGAATCAGAGATGCTATATTTAATCAAATAATGGGGACTGTCATCTCTGATACCATAGTTGAAAGGGTGACTTCCAAGCCTACAATGATGGCACCAGCAGAAATACCTTTCTCCGGGATATCTACAAAAGGCAACAATTAGGAATTCAGTCGTTTTAAACTTGTCTTGAAAATATTATTATTATACAAGGTATACGAGAAAACAAAAATATATCATTGAAAAGAATTCCTACTTGCAGATTCACAAAAAAAACAATCTGAATATGAATTTAACATATAATTCCTTTACCTTTTAGCAATCAGAAGTTGAATAAAGAGTTCCAGCAGCTGGTGTTGGAGAAATTAGTTGTACCCCTTGCTATAAATGCTTACGATTACCTACTTCCATTAGGTTCATGCAGTTCAAGAAACAGAATACCCTCAACACGTGAGGTACTGCTACAAATACCTGTCTCCGTGATAGCTACAAGATGCAATAGCTGTTGAGTAAATCACAAGAAAAGAACATTTACAGTTGTGTACACAATCGTATTTGCACTGAATATTTGTTACAATCACAAGTAATGCTTCATTTCTGCTGCACTTTATAACTTAATGTTGAACACATGAACGTGTTGATAAATGGTTTACTGTAAAATACTGGATGATTATATTCAAATTATTAATCATATTAAAGTAAGCAGGACACTTTCAATTATTCCACCTTTTCATTCACATTATTTACGAGAGAACACGTTTATTGGTTTTATTATGTTTTACTGAAACTGGTCATGGCAACAGTAGATAAGAGAGTGGGTAGTGATGAACTGCGGTCACGGTTGATGAACCAGAAGTAATGAGATTAAGGTTTAGGAGGGCAGTGAGAAAGAAGTAGCAGTTAAAATGATTAATGACGATGAAGTATATGAGGTTTATACAGCCAACTTACAACTGTAGGGAGGTTGCGTGGCGTTGAAGACCCAGCATCCAGCATCCCTTTAGTACTGGTTGACCTTTTATCTTTCTCTTCTAACGCTGCGTGTGGTATCCCTCCATTACCATATGTCCCGGGGCCTGGAACGTCACTCTGTGCAACAACATAATTTTAGAATAAATATATGATAGACATCTAAAGTTTAATATTGTTTTTCCATTCAGATCCCATATAAAATAATTTGTATTAATCTTGTTAGTAAAATAAAGAATGATCACTGAAGGGAAATTTGAAACAGTTCATGTGGTGATTACCATCAATGCTACCAGCATTACTCCAAGTTAATATCATGGCAAGAAATACATGTACATGATAGTAGTGCATATCTAACAGGCTCTAAGCATGACTAGACAAGGGAAGTAACTCCAGCAGGTTACTCATCAACTCAAGGAACAAATTTGTGCAAAATACACCATAAAAATATGCCATGAAGAACACAACAAGGAAGGAGTGAGTGAGTTTAGTTTTAAGCCGCTTTTAGCAATATTCCAGTAATATCACGGCGGGGGAAACCAGAAATGGGCTTCACAGATATTGTACCCATGTATTGAATCGAACCTGGGTCTTCGGCATGACAAGCAAATACTCAGCAGCAAAGGAAGATTGTCAGGTTGCAATGATGATAAATTAAGGGACCTTTCATAATTTATGGCTAGGGGGGGTGATGATGATTTTTATGGAGAAGCATGTTCAATTTGACTCACCACCCCTAAAATTTATGTACAAAGTAAGTGACTCCCCTTGCATGTCATGTACAAAATCAATGACACCTCCCCCCATCTTTTTAAGCATAATTTTAAAATATTTTTATGTACAAAATTGATGAACCCCCTACCTACCCAGAATAAAATTGGTGACCCGCGGACCCCCACCCCCCCTTAAAATCATCATCACCCCCCTTGCCATAAATTATGAACAGTCCCTTAGGGAAAGATTCAGATCATTATCAAGCATAAATACTGTCTTTAAATCACTTCATTGATTGTTGTTATGACTTAACATCCATGTTTTTATAAGCTATACTAGGCACATAAAGAAACTGTGCATACAAAAATTTAAAATCTAAATTTATCAAACCTGTGTAGACACATAAGGATTTAAACTCAGAGATTAGTGACATGTATCCAACATGCATGCACGTGTCACTTCCGTGACGTCAGTGTGTTCGTCCTTGAGACGTGCAATACGCTGTTGCACGTGCATTCCGGGAAAGAGAAACAGAGCAAATGAATGCCACACAATACTGTCACTTTGGAAACCTCAACCCCTGCCCTTGCGATCGTTCAAAAAATTAAACGGCTATTGAAACGCATAGCATGCCAAGGCTCACGTCTGCACAACGTCATGAGGCCATTGGGATGGTCCGTGGGGAAATGTCTCAACGACAAGTGGCTGCACATTTCCACTGCCACCGAACACCATTTCTGCACTGGTGAGACGCTACCAGAACACAAATGACGTCATCGAAGGGCCACGTTCTGGACATCCACGTGTAACAACGCCAAGACAGGACAGATGGATAAGGGTGACCCATCTTCGCCACAGGTTTCAGACTGCAGTGATGACTGCCCAAACCATCCCAGGACTTCGCCGTATCCACCCCAACACAGTTCGACAACATTTACATCATCACGGGATCACACCACGACGTCCAGCCATACGGCCTATCCTGACACAACGTCATCGACAAGCTCGCCAAATGTGGTGCCGAAATCATGTTCGCTGACCCTTGTTTTGGTGGAGAAATGTTGTTTTTACAGATGAGTCCAGGTTTAACATTTCCCATAGTGATGGACGTCAACGTGCCTATAGATGCGTGGGAGAACGTTATGCACAGGCCTGTGTCTTGGAGAGAAATCGCTTTGGTGGTGGTTCCGTGATGATTTGGGGTGGAATAAGAGCACGCCAAAGAACTCCTTTGGTGATTGTTCAGGGCAACTTAACTGGTGTGGGCTACAGGGATCAGATTTTTGCCCTGTGGCAGTTCCTTATCTGCAACGTCATGGCCCTGGGTTAACATTCCAACAGGACAATGCCCGCCCACATACGGCAAGGGTTGCTATAGATTTCTTGCAACACCACAACGTTGACTTACTGCCTTGGCCTGCAAATTCACCGGATCTCTCCCCGATAGAGCATGTTTGGGACGAGATGGATCAACGTCTACGCCGTCTTCCTCATTCGCCAGATAACGTCCTTGACCTTGCAACAGAACTTGAGAGAATCGGGCGTGACATCCCACAAGCCTTCCTTGCACGTTTGATAGGCTCTATGCATCGTCGATGCATTGCTGTTCTCAATGCTGATGGTGGACATACCCGTTATTGAGCTTGTGACATGGTCGTTTGACCCCTGTCCTGCTTGTGACTCGTGACGTCATTGTGATTGACTTTTCAATTGAAATTCGCCCAACTTGTTATGGTCTCATGATCCCTCCATTAAAGTTTATATGTACCTTTGACATTGTTATCGTACTTATCAACTGGGATAATATTTTGACAATACACAGTTTCTTTATGTGGCTAGTATATAAACACAGGTAATGAAGTGATTAAGTTACATGACTAAAATGTTATGTCTCTCTGACGTTCCTTCTCAAACCTGGTTCTCTGGGTGAACTAGATAAAAATACAATATTATATGTGACATTTAAATTGTAAGGAACAAGAGAACGAACATGATCTCTTCCCCATCTTTTAATATTGTTACCTGATGTGGCAGGATGAGGGAAAAAACAATACAGAAAATACTGCTTCCATGTAACCCTACTTACCACAGTTCCATCCTTGAACCTGGGTGCCTTGGTTTCACAGATTCCATGACTGCTCCTGGGCTTCTCATCGGAACTCTGGAGGAAGTCCTTGATCTCATATGATCCGGGGCCCAGCTTCCTTTGCTGAATTAAACCAGTGACACTCAATACAGGGGCTACACTGGTTCAACAGGTGATCACAGGTAATGTCATCTTATTAACTTGAATTCTCATACCATATGTACATCTATTTATTGGGGGCATCTGAAAACTACCTCGAAAGCATCCCACTTCTACACATGTTATGTTAATGGAAGGCCTGAGTTAATGCTGAAATCAGTAACACACCTGCATCTAGGAATGATAAGGAAATGCATGTTTACTTCTTACTTGGCGAAAGACATGTGATCAGTTTTCTTATCAACATTTTGAAAGATCTGAATCTTTGAAAATTATTTTGCTATAGCATTAAAAAAGCCTTGAAAGTTAGAAGTCTTGACCACTTCAAGTGTGTGTCCCTGCTACATGACTGAAAAAGGGGATTTGTTTTGTAGTCAGTAAAGAGTTACTAAAGAATTCATTCATTCAGCCTAGATGCCCATGCCGACTGTATAAGGGTATAAAATTTGGGGACAATGATACCAGCACATAACGGTGCCGTCATTAATCAACACTATCAGAGTGGTGTCAAGACAAATTGCTCTGTGTACTTTATATATCACTGTCCTTCCTTACGTGGAAGTGTAATATCTAAAACAATTTAATTGATGTCTATTTGGCGGACCTCCATGAGCAAATGTAAACGAATCACAATATATTAGGTTAATTGTCTCTGGACAATGAACTGTGCATGTAACAACATATGTTACACTTTTCTCAGTAAAGTACATGTACAACTTTAGTACTTTTTTGAGTTGAGTCCCATCCAGCATTCGAATCCACACTCGGAGTCAAACAATCTAACCTGCTCAGCCACAACAGCTTCCACAAAATGGAAGTCTGACAACTTAGTGAGCAGGTGATTTGTTGCCTGTGTGTGTGTTCAAATGCTGGATAGAAGTCAACCAAAAAACATACTAGAATCTGTACTTTACTGAGAAAGTGTATAACATGTGTTACTTTTGTCCACTTTCTAAATGGTGACAGGCCGGGAAAGCCACATTTCCAAAATGACTATTGCCGGGAAGGCCACATTTCAATTACATGGCTGTAGCCGGTAAAGCCACATTTCCAATAGATTAATTAATTAATGGATTACCGTAACCGGTAAAAAAGTGTCACCATGTATAATATTGTTATAACAAGCAACGAATAATCGTTCATATTCACAAGCGTGGTGTTTAGCAATACCGGTAAAAGACTGTCCCTATTTATGATTTATGGACTCAAAATGGAAACACCTCCGGTGGTACATGAGTACATAAAATGGAATGCAGAATATACAAAGTATGTTAGAAGGTGACAGGGAATGATTACTGAAAACTAGAACATATACATTTAATAAATTTAGACAGGTGTTTGATTGTCCAAGATATTTTTATGGATTAAACTTCTTTTTTAATTTCTCTCACAACGTTTCGAGACCATTCCAGGTCCCTTAATCAGGTCTCAAACGTTGTGAGAAAACTAGTTTAATCCATAAAAATATCTTGGACATCAATGTACAACTTCTAAATGCCACTGAAAGACAGGTGTTTGATTGTTGAAATTTTAGTACTTTCCATCATATAGAATAGGTTTCCAAATATTTTCAGATAGCAGTAAGTATTTGTCGAGTGAAGGTGAGTTTCTAAAAATCTTATAATATTGTCCTTTAGACGAATTACTCATTTCACTGGTCCACGATTGTAAAAACTGGTCTTTCTTTGATATGATCCAGGATTGAGTATAATGAAAGGGGTTTACAAATACAGCCACATTTACAAAATATATGTTTCACATGATTTAGCCTGGGAGCATCATCCATAATATTATCTTCCAAGTTGTCTTCCAAGTTCTCCATAAACCATAAAGTTTGGGGTGTTATATCTAAGACCGGGGCGATCACCTTCATCTGCAGTAGGGGGTGTAAAAAAGAATGTTTTTTAGGAGATAAACATCATGTGTTGGCGAATTTCCGGGTGTTATTGAGTATTTGAACCACAGGAATTCATTTGGAACCGACAGCGTCAGCCGGAGGTTTCAAATGAAATATTCCCGTGCTTCAAATACTCAATAACACCCGAAATTCGCCAACACATGAAGTTTATCGACATTGTAAGCACAAAAGTAAACCGAAAGGTCCACACACGTTTTTGTGTCTGCTCTCATTGACATCGAGTATGGGTACAGCAGTGAAATGTCATCAGCCGGCCGTTTCGGCTGTCTCCAATGGTAGCATCTGGAACTGCTCATTTGTGACGTCATTCGGACTTTACGTCACAATATGATTTTAATGACGTCATCACAGCTGACGACGTAACAATACAATGGTGTGAGCGATGTTTGTAGGTATTAATACGCAGAGAATTTCCGGGAATCAAATACCATTTGATCACGTTTTTCAACCAATCAGATTAAAGAACACAGTGACTTTTGGTTTACAAGTTATCTTACGCCGTTTTATCTGTTTGTACACATGGCAACAAACTAAACCATTATCATTATTATTATGTTTTACAGATTAACATTTATCATTATTTTGTGATATATTATAATATGTAATGTAACCTATTAGTATATTATATTCTGCTAATTATAGAAACAAAACCTGTTGTGATCTGAATAAAATTATGCGGAAACATGTCTTGTTTTGTTAAATACGGTAACGCGTCACAAAGCATGTTTTGACAGCATAGCCGGGAGAGCCACATTCCATGTTCACGCAACCATAACTATTCCCGGGAGAGCCACATCAATTTAGGCTATCTGTTTCGGAAATGTGGCTCTTCCGGCCTGTAACCTTCTAAATGGCATTGTGCATTAATTAACTACACAAAATACATAACAATCGTTATCTACCCTGTCGAGATATTTAACATCATTTTAGTTGAACTACAGAATTGATGATCATTTTGACCATCAGTCATTTGTTGTTCACCAGTGGCTTGTGAAGCAATGTCATGTTAACTCTCAACTTGAGACTATGCTGTGGCTTTGCATCAAAGTATCATTATTCCTGGTGCCACTCACCAACATCCGCTTCTGTTCCCACTGTTCTTTGTGCAGGAGATGCGGCAGGGCTGCCATCCTTTCCACCTCATATGCCCGAGCCCAGCCAGGGCCCCTCGTCTTGTCCTCCACAGACTTGGTGCTGAACCCACCCTGGTCAACATCATAGCTGCCAGGACCGAGCCGACGCTTCTGAACAGTCAAGTTTTCTTGTTTAGACAATTTCATATTCAGACTGCTTCCTACACAGTCACAGTCTTAGATTAAATGATTATGTAATGTAATTATAGAAAAAGAAACAGCAAAATATCTGAGAAAGACAATATACTTGTTACGTTACCAATTTCATTTCACGATCTTATGAAATAGGAAAAGAAACAGCCAGAATTGAGCTACTCTGGTGTACATCAGTGTCAGCCATTACAAGCCTTGACACTGTCTAAAAATCATAAATACATGTAGTGAGAAGAAAATCGACACAACTACATATTGCTATTTTGGGCAAATGAACTACTCACCAGATCTTGTGTGAACTTCTTGTCGTATGGTATCTCGGTGAAGGTGCCAGGGGTCTTACTCTTCGGGTGCACACCAGACACATCAAACCTGAATACCAACAGGTGCTCAGTACTGTTTATACCATATTCACCCTATCAACTGCCCAGCTCCAATATGCCACACTCTAACCTACTTCTAGACCAATCTGTAAACAATCTTTGCAAGTGTTCCCCTATTAAGACCAAAAGTTTACACAACAGTCCATGTTTTCTTGCCTATATTATCGATTTTTTTAAAACAACAACAGCAGCACAGGAAGGGTATACTGTCCTTTTGTAAAATGTCCTTTTGTAGACTCATAAACGTTTGAACAGAGTTTGTCCACAACTTATCTCTGAAAACAAATCTGATTGTGTACTGTTTTAAAAGGTGTACACCTTTTAAAAATTGTAAGAGAAGAGTTTTTAACATTCCCGGAGTGATTGATGGTAAATACATATACAAAACAATACATGGGATGACTGAGTAAATTACTTGTTTCACTGATTTTCGTCTGAGAAAACACACACAGTCAAATTGTCAAAGTCACTTGATTTATAACTGAAGATTACTATAGACACATTTGTTTCCAATTGATTATAAAAGTAACAGGCAAGTAAGTAAAATGAGGATTATGATAAGGACACTTCAACTTTCATCATTGAGTTCTTCTTTTCTTATAATATTTTTTGAGAAAATACCATTCTTTCAAAATTCACTTTATTATGAATAAAGGTTTTAAGCAACTGTAGCATTGAAAAGGTGTTGATCTTACCTATTCTTATATTTTGCTTATACACATATAAGTATACTGTAGAAATACTATTCCTATTTATAAACCTTTCATAAAATAATCATTATTTTCATTTTTCTTGATTTTTAACCATGATTCACAACAATCTACAACACTGATAAATATTTTGATTTCTGATGCTGGTTAAATGTTTCATTTTGGTTTCAGCAACAAATTAACTTCCTTGCTTACTTATTACCTTACTATTGTTTTGTTTTGATTTTTTTGGTCAGTATGCCAGGTGGTTAAACAAACAATCACCTTCTTAAGGATTGATTTGAAGTTAAATCCCTTTGAAAAAAACCTCATTAACAAAAATATAGGCAAAAGGATATTACTCTTTTAACATTTGTGATAAAAAAAAACATCTTTATCTGTTATTCGCTTTTCAGCACAATTTAGGATAGGCTTGCCACTGAAGTAATGAAATAAATTGGTCTGTGTTCAGAAATATCTGCCTGCCTAACCAAAGAAAGCCATGTATGTACATCAATAATACAGGCAATATTGCTCAAGCAGAAGTGATCATTTATTCATGATCAAACATGAAACATGAGTCCTGGACCAAACAATGAAGCTGTCACTGGACGTTTCAACATAGAATATAATAACCAGTTTACACCTTCTTTATAAAGCCCGGACTGAGCGACGTTAATCTTACAACCATATGTCCCATGCAGACCACTGGACCTCTTTCTTTGAATGTTAAATAATAGGCCAGACAACCATAAACACATGAGGAGGTTCTTCAAGTTGGTCTGGCTGTCTATACACACTTCAAGATGCTTTATCTAGGATCATTGCCAGCAGTCAACCAGTTGTAAAGCAGTCATTATATAGTGTCCATTAAGTAGATAGTAAATAAGATAACACAGGTCACTGATATTAATGCACCTTAAGTTACACACTTATCAGTATAAATTAATTATATTACTTGATATGATAAAGAGACATCTTTGTAATTACAACTCGCTAACATATATTTTTAACCTTATTATGCAATTATGAATTGTTTCATTATTGTTTTGAATATATGCGATTCGTGCTTCTTTTGAATTTTATTTGAAGCCTCCAAGGTCTTTGCACATTTTCAAAGCCTTATTCAGCATAATGTTGCATACCTTGGCTTTATACAGGATAACTTTTAATTCGTCTTTGATGTTTACGGCCTTTTATTGATTCTCTGAACTTGACGCAAGATAACATTATCATAATAGTTTCTCATGTAACTTGTTTCTCTTTCTAACTTTTGAAAGAGTACAATATCATTTAGAGAATATCATTGAATACATCGGTAACAGATCGTTTCAATACAATAATGGTGTTGACATCGTGTCAAAATGACAAAAATTACTGACAATATTATTCTGTCGTAATATTTACGAGGCTCACCTTGCTGTTTGTGTTCCAAATGGTGCCCCAGAGTATTTCTTCTCAGCCATTATGTCCTCTTTCGAGCCGGTGTAACACAAAACAAATCGGCTTGTAAAGCCCTTTCTTTTTCAGTTGGAACTATTGCATATCGTGTGTGCGGTGCATAACAATTACATTCAACAAGCTAATCCATACACTGTCGCGAAGGGTTGTCTGCTAGCACCGTCACATGGCAACATGACGCCTACACTCGAACCAATAATTTACCGGAGTTATTGTTATCTTGTTCTCGTGTTTCTCAATTATTCCCCTATGTTTGTGGTAAAAGTATATATTGGATACCATTAAGTATACGTATAGGTGCATTTCCTAGAACAAATATCAACACTTAAAGAGATATTCAATTGTGCGTTATGAGGAAGAGACTAAACAGGGGAGGTAAATCTAATAAACGAAACATTAGGGGCCCTAAAAAGGATGTTTGAATACAGAACAGCTCCTCATCGATCATTCGTCTGAATAAAGCTATCAAACGCACAGTTTGTCGGCCGTATAAACGAATACCACATAGAAAAAGTGATTGTTCTCACATAGTAAAGAACGTTAACCGATTTCAATTTTCTGTTGGTTCTCATGTTAAACAATAAAAACCTATGCCTGCTGTGCATAGCGAGACAAAATGGTGATTATGTGTCCCCGTATCCCGGCGATGTGGGATGTCTCTCACAATATCAATCACTGTATGTTCACATTTCAATAATTATTATATGGCCAGCCGTCATTCAGTAGAAGTACTGCTGGGTGCAGTTTTAACTGTCACACAGCAAAAAAACCCGCATGAATTCAATGCCAATATTCCCAAACAAACATGATAAATAGTTAATTATATTTAACATGTGTTTTGGGGTTAGCAATCTGAGACTAATATCAAGAGACATTTGCTGTCGCACTCTTGCTGCAGTGTGTTTTGTTTGTGGTCGCTGCCGGTGACTGAGTTTGCTGCGTATGCAGCTGCACTCACTATACAACTTCATCCAGATTTTACACTATTATTTCTGTTGCTTTTCGCAGATGATATACTATTCACACTTTGCTAAGGATCAAATCATGGATTCAGCAGAAAACTATGACGTGGGGTCAAATTTGGTTTAAATATCTAAGCATGGTTCCTAGGTTTCAGTATGTCATTGCATCTTGTGGATCCCATATACCTGCTATTGACAGATGTTGTTTATTTAGAAGATAAATAGTTTCGTTTGTTCAATTTCCGGGATTCATTGGAATTCAACATAGGCAAATTTTGTTTAAACCCGAGGGCTTCAGCAAAAATAAAGTTAGCCTCCATTATGCAAATGAAAGTAGTGCATATTCTTACGTATCATTGGGCTGTTATTCGGCTTTTGTAATTCAGGGAATCGAACTATATTCGACAAGGTTTCTCGACCAGTGAAATTGCAGAAAACACACACTATTGGTTTACAATTGTCAGTGACTCGTTCCATGATTTGCAAAATGGTCGATTGGTGCCATGAAAAGCATGTTTATGGTTACTCATGTATCAAGTGCTTAAGTTTAGAATAAAGTGGTTATCTGCCTAAAGAAGGGTTGCCATATTGTTATTTATCCAGTTTTAAATGGATACAATTTCAAATTATATATCTACGTTTAAGTAAAGTTGTGAATTTTTGTAATCCTTATCAAAGTGTGAGTAGTATATTATATTGCCGTCAGACACTGTCATAGGGCTTCAGATGCGTATTGATGCGTTGGACAGTTTTGTGTTGAATATGGTCTTGATATTCATGTGTCAACCCCATGACATGTGTCAACCAAGTCAGCGACCACCCGATCCCGTTAGTCGCCTCTTACGACAAGCATGGGTCACTGAAGATCAATTCTAACCCGGATCTTCACGGGTGTTAATTCTTATAAGTATCTTGGCATTACGTTTACTAGATGATTGTCCTGGTCTAGCCATTTTATGAATGCTTCAATTCATAGTGAAAAGGCTCTGTTTGCAATCCTGCGTTCATTAAAAATATTAAAGGGTATCTTTCGATTTATTCTTCAGAATTTTCGAATTGAAAATAGCTCCTATTCTTCTTTATGGTGCAGAGGTATGGGTTTTTCACCAAATAATTATATTGAGTCTGTCCATACGCTGGCATGTAAAAAGTTCCTTGGTGTAAAATCATCAACATCTAATAAAGTAGCTGGGTGCGAATGTGATCGTTTCGCTATTTATATTCTGGTGTATGAAAGGGTAATTACATTTTGGTTAAAATTATTGTCTATACCTAACTATCGCTACAATATGTTGGTACACGCTTCTAATGCCGGAAAGGATAACTGGGCTACTAAATGTAAGCATTTGTTGTTCAGTTTAGGTTTTGGGTATATCTGGGAACAAGTCGTCCTTAAACCAGTTGCTTTCTTGTCTGAGTTTGTTTCCCGCTTGAATTGATAAGCGAGCAAGACTGGCGGGGTTCACTTAATAAAGGTGGTAAACCTTTCGTTTAATCTTGTTTTAAACTTCCCTTTCAAAGGAGTCATATATTGAGTGACTGACTGACTGACTGAGTTTGGTTTTACGCCGCTTTTAGCAATATTCCAGCAATATCACGGCGGGGGATACCAGAAATGGGCTTCACTCATTGTACCCATGTGGGGATCCGAACCCGGGTCTTCCGCGTGACGAGCCAACGCTTTAACCACTAGACTACCCCACCGCCCCATATATTGAGTGTGTCAGTTTAGAAAGGTTTAGCTATGCTCCATATTGAAACTGGACGGTAACCCAATAACAATAGAAATGCTAGGTTAGGTAACATATGTATAGTATGACCAGAAATTATCGAGAATTTTAGGAATACGTTTAATTGGATTTCTAGTATAATCAACCTTGACCAGCTATCAAGTGCGTGGTTTCATTCAAGAGAGACAACTCCCTTAATCCTTTTCATTAGTTTGTGAAGAGTTATCCCCCTTTGTTTACTTGCTAGCAGACGACATTTTCAGTGATCCTCAGTATGGATGATTTAGAGAAGAGGAAGTTGATTTTAGAGTATTATAACAAGGACATCAGATCAGCTAAAGTGATTTCAAGTAGAACAGGCATCCCTTTGTCCACTGTTTATCGTGTTTTGAAAAATATTGCAAATGGATATGGCATTGAGCACCAGGGAGGCCCAGAAAATTGACTGTCGGTGACAGGAGGTGGCTTGGTATTCTTGTTTCTAAAAACAAACGAAGGAGTTTAGAAAACTTAAGTCTGGATATGATTGATAGAGGAACTGTGGCTGTCTGTAATGGAGACAATTAGAACTGAGCTGCATGCAATGGGTTGGCAGAAAAGTCGAGGAATTCCATCACCGATCATGAAACCTGAACAAAAGGAGCGAAGGTTGAACTGGTGCTTACAGCATAGAAATTTTAACTGGGACAATGTGATTTTCTCAGATGAAAGTTCTTGAAGGGAATATGAACAGTGAGCGGTACACAGATATTCTCGAGGGACATTTACTTCCATCTGCTCACGTGTTCTATGGAAATTTTTGGATTTTGCAGCAGGACAACGACCCAAAACATCGTTCAAAGCATTCACAGGCCTGGTTTCGGACCCAAAATATGACGTTATTAGATTGGCCAAGCTATAGCCTGACCATAGCTATGCTGCTAAGAAAAGTATCTCTACTAAGTATTGTTAGTTAAAACAACGTAAACATAAATCAAATCATCTTTATGGTGCAGAGGTATGGGTTTTTCACCAAATAATTATATTGAGTCTGTCCATACGCTGCATGTAAAAGTTGGTGTAAAATTACAACATCTAATAAAGTAGCCTGGGTGCGAATGTGATCGTTTCGCTATTTATATTCTGGTGTATGAAAAGGTAATTACATTTTGGTTAAAATTATTGTCTATACCTAACTATCGCTACTTGGTACACGCTTCTAATGCCGGAAAGGATAACTGGGCTACTAAATGTAAGCATTTGTTGTTCAGTTTAGGTTTTGGGTATATCTGGGAACAAGTCGTCCTTAAACCAGTTGCTTTCTTATCTGAGTTTGTTTCCCGCTTGAAGATAAGCGAGCAAGACTGGCGGGGTTCACTTAATAAAGGTGGTAAATTCGTTTAATCTTGTTTTAAACTTCCCCTTCAAAGGAGTATATTGAGTGACTGACTGACTGACTGAGTTTGGTTTTACGCCGCTTTTAGCAATATTCCAGCAATATCACGGCGGGGATGCAGAAATGGGCTTCACTCATTGTACCCATGTGGGGATCCGAACCCGGGTCTTCCGCGTGACGAGCCAACGCTTTAACCACTAGACTACCCCACCGCCCCATATATTGAGTGTGTCAGTTTAGAAAGGTTTAGCTATGCTCCATATTGAAACTGGACGGTAACCCAATAACAATAGAAATGCTAGGTTAGGTAACATATGTATAGTATGACCAGAAATTATCGAGAATTTTAGGAATACGTTTAATTGGATTTCTAGTATAATCAACCTTGACCAGCTATCAAGTGCGTGGTTTCATTCAAGAGAGACAACTCCCTTAATCCTTTTTCATTAGTTTGTGAAGAGTTATCCCCTTTGTTTACTTGCTAGCAGACGACATTTTCAGTGATCCTCAGTATGGATGATTTAGGGAAGAGGAAGTTGATTTTAGAGTATTATAACAAGGACATCAGATCAGCTAAAGTGATTTCAAGTAGAACAGGCATCCCTTTGTCCACTGTTTATCGTGTTTTGAAAAATATTGCAAATGGATATGGCATTGAGCACCAGGGAGGCCCAGAAAATTGACTGTCGGTGACAGGAGGTGGCTTGGTATTCTTGTTTCTAAAAACAAACGAAGGAGTTTAGAAAACTTAAGGCTGGATATGATTGATAGAGGAACTGTGGCTCTCTGTAAGGAGACAATTAGAACTGAGCTGCATGCAATGGGTTGGCAGAAAAGTCGAGGAATTCCATCACCGATCATGAAACCTGAACAAAAGGAGCGAAGGTTGAACTGGTGCTTACAGCATAGAAATTTTAACTGGGACAATGTGATTTTCTCAGATGAAAGTTCTTGAAGGGAATATGAACAGTGAGCGGTACACAGATATTCTCGAGGGACATTTACTTCCATCTGCTCACGTGTTCTATGGAAATTTTTGGATTTTGCAGCAGGACAACGACCCAAAACATCGTTCAAAGCATTCACAGGCCTGGTTTCGGACCCAAAATATGACG